TAGGACAGGGCCACTGCGTCTGTTAATTCAGTCACTGTGTAATGATTAGACTTCGGAGTCAGAGATCAGGGTTTGAATCAGAGCTCCCACTTACAGACTGTGTGGCCACAGAAAGTGACACAATCTCTGAAAGTCCCATTTTGCCATCTGAGGACGGGGTGACAATACTACACATTTTGTTGGTTGTGAAGCTTGGAAAGTGCTTAGCAAATGCCTGGCACACAGTAAGCAGTCAATAATTAGTAGTTATTATTTTTACCATGACCTCAATTATTTTTTTTACAAAGTAACCAGGGTCTAAAGCCACTTGAATTTTCAAGGAGTGCCTCTCTAAGAAGAAAGGCTGTTGAGAATCTACTCTATAAGCACACAGATAAAACATTCTATGTATTTTTTAAATGTATGAATTATAGCCACCCGTCCCTCTGTCAGGGAACTCTGAGAGGATGGAAATGTGATAAAACCGGCATGTGGTGATGTTTGCATAACTCTGTAAATTTACTATGAATCATTGGATCATACAATTAAAACATGTGAATTTGATGATAAGTAATTATTTATCTGATTTTAATAAATCAGATTTTTTTTAAAAAACTATTGGCAGAGATATGGCAAAGCCATGACTGATACCTGAAAGCTGAGCAAGGCCACAAATAGTAGGTATATGTCTTTTCATATTTTGTCCAGAATTGATCATTGTTATCTGTAAGAGGGTTCCTGTCATGGACCCACCATGACAGAAAGCAAAAGCCTAGCTTTTCTGTGAAGACAGGTGTGGTATTAACGCAGGGAGCACTGCTGTCAGTTTAAGATTCACACACACACATTGTGGCAACCAATGAATAAAAACTGTGGTGATGCTACTGGGAACAAATGTCACTGGAGCTTTATTCAGTTAAAAAGCTTCAGTGACATTGTTGGAGGGTAAGGAGAGAGTGGCCTGCTATATATTTCAATGAACATAAGGAACTATAAAATGTATTTCCAGTTATCCCTACGAAATCCTGCATCCCATTCAGACTCCTTTAGTGGCTTCTGATAGTCTGTGTGTAGCTTCCAGGAAACTTCCAGGTTAGAGGACAAAATCTGAAAAAACAAATTATACCATTGTAAAGGTTTACTTAGGCTTGGTTTGTCTTTGAGAGAGTCGGGTCTTGGGAACAAATGTCATCTTTAAATTTTCCATTTATGTGTACTGCATGGACAGAAAAATACACACAGTATACAGCCTTATGAATTTCCACAAACTGAGTGATAAGAAATGAAGCATCACCAGCACTGTAGGTCCTTCCCGTGTGCCCCTCTGGACACTGCTCCTCCCAGAGTGACTGACTCCCACCCTGACTTCTCCCCGAATAGGTCACTTTTGCCCATTTGTACTCTACATACTTGGAATCACACAGATGAACTCCTTCGCTGTGTCTAGCATCTATTACTCAGCACTCTATGTGGAGATTTATAGGTGTCTTGCATTCAGTTGCAGGTAGTTTTATTCTCATTGCTGCGTAGTATTCATTGTGCAAATAGATCCCAATCTATGTATCCATTCTGCTATCAACGGGTGTTCAGATAGTTTTCAGATTGGGACTATTACAAATAGTTCTACTATGATAGTGTGTGTAACACAATCCATTCTGCTATTAGTGAGTTTATGGGTTTGCTCGGGCTGTGTCTCAGCTCCAGATGCTATAACAAATATAAAGTAGGCTGGGTGACTTCAACAACAAACATGTATCTCTCACAGTTCTGGAGGTTGGGAAGTCCAAGACCAAGGCACCAGTTGGCTTGGTGCCTGGTGCGGGTCCCCTTCCTGGTTTCCAAATGGCCATCTGCTTGCTGTGGTCTCACATGGTGGAAAAGCAGGGGGAGGGAAAAAGCTCGCTCTCTCATGTCTTTTTATTAAGGGCACTAATCCCTTTCATGAGGGTTTCACCTGCGTGACCTAATTACCTCCTAAAGGCCCCATCTCCTAATACCATTGCCATGGGGTTAGGATTTCAACATATGAATGGGTGTGGCACAAGCATATCGTCTATAGCAGGCTGCCATAACAAAATACCACAGACTGAGTGGCCTAACAACAGACATTTCTCATGGTTCTGGAAGTCCCAGGTCAAGGTGTGGCAGAGCGTGTGTTTCCTGAGGCCTCTTTCCTTGGCTTGCAGATGCTGCCTCCTCCCATGAGTCCTCACATGGTCATCCCTCTGTGCTTGTATGTATCCTAGTCTCCTCTTCTTATGAGGACACCAGTCATGTTGGATTAAGGCCCACCTATATGACCTCATTTTACCTTAATTACTTCTACAAAAACTCTGTCTCCAAATACAGTCTCATTTTTTGGTAGTGAGGGTTGGGACTCCAACATACGAATTTTAAGGGGACACAATTCAGCTCATAACAGTGGGCATTTGTGTAGTTTCTCATTTAAGGCGTGCTTGGTCTGAATGTTTGTGGCCCTTCCACAAATTTATACATCGAAATCCATACCCCCAAGGTGATGGTATTAGGAGGTATGGCCTGTAAGAGATGATTAGGTCATAAGGGTAGAGCCCTCATGAGTGGGATTAGTGCCTTATGAAAGAGATCCCAGGGAGCTAGCTAGTCCCTGCCACCATGTAAAGACACAGCAAGCAAGTGCCATCTACAAACCAGGAAGTGGGCCCTCACTGGACACTGAATCTGCCAGTGCCTTGACCTTGGACTTCCAGCCTCCAGGACTGTGAGAAAGACATTTCTGTTGTTTACAGGCCACGCAGCCTCTCACATTTTGTTATAGCTGCCCAAACAGACTAGGATAGGGTTCTTAGGAGCAGTACTGCTATGGTAGTGTATAAATATACCATAATCTATCCATTCTGTTGCCAGTGGGCATTTGTGTGGTTTGTAGTTTGGGACTCTTAGGAATAGTGCAACTATGAACATTTCTGTTCCTGGCTTTTGAGAAACATATGTTGACATTTCCAGTGTGTATGTGTCCAAGAGTGGAATTAGTTGGTCTCAGGGAATGTACATGTTCAGATTTAGTAGTTACTGCCAAGCTTTTTAGAATGGTCCTACTAACTTAGTCCCTTGTCAATTCATGTTTACAGTGGCTACCGCTCATGGAAGAAGACTGCAGGAAACGCTCCGAGGCCTCTGGAATCTGCCTCCCCAAGAATTTCTCAATAAATCAAATCTTAGGCAAGGCAGTTTCAGCAAGAACAATCAACCACCCCATGCTCCAGGCAGCTCTCGCTCTTAGAAAGAAGGGTAAGGGTCCACTATCTGCCATTCTCTGGCCCAACCACATCAGAACTCTCAGGGGAGTTAGGTCAGAATACAATTTAGTGTGTTGTGAGATCTCATATCTTCTGGGCCTTGATGGACTTGATAGAAGGGCATGATGGAAAGGCATGGCCCCGAAACAAGTTTTATCAAATGGCAAAAAACAACACTATAAGAATAACTGGAAAATGACATGATTTTACTAGTAAAGTAATGTATGCCAGTGACTGCCCTGTGAGCAAAATTCTCTCCTGCTGATGCTAATAGTAATGACCTGAATGACCTGACCTCTTGTCACAGTGATTCAAAAGCAAGGCCTTTTAAGCAACTATGATTTTCTCAGCCTCTGGGTGTCAGAGTCACCGAGCTATGAGCTGGCTCATGCAGGCCTTAGATCATGTCAGTAGCCTAAGACACGAAATCACACTCATCAGAAGACAGTGCCCTGCTCTTCACAGGCATCCTTGAAACCGTTCCACTCTCTTCTCAGCAGACTTGTGTGGCTGTGGCTAAGCCATCCCACATCCACAATTCCTCCCTCGTATTACGTGGGAAGCGTCTCCCCATCAACGCATCCATATCTTGCTTCCAGCATTGCCTGGTTGTCACCTTCACTGGTGAGGCAGACAAAGACAGAAATGGGAACTCAGTCCCTGGTACCCATGGCAGGTGTTTTGAAAGGTAGTCAGGCAGAGTTTGCAGTGGCGTGGACTAGAAAGAACCTTGGGGCTTCACTGGGGGCTGTGGGCGGCTTGTAACTCATCAGAGCTTAGATTTGCTCATCTGTACATAAGGGATGGGAAGAGCCGCTTTGCCCACCCCAAAGGTGGTGAGGATCAGATGAGCCACCGAATATCAGGACACTGTGATCAGATGGGCTGAGGGTGTGGGGACACTGATGAGACAGGAGGAGGGTGTCGGGACACTGTGATGAGATGGGCTGAGGGTGTCAGGACACTGTGATGAGATGGGCTGAGGGTGTTGGGACACTGATGAGACGGGCTGAGGGTGTCAGGACACTGTGATGAGATGGGCAGAGGGTGTGGGGACACTGATGAGACAGGAGGAGGGTGTCGGGACACTGATGAGACGGGCTGAGGGTGTCAGGACACTGTGATGAGACGGGCTGAGGGTGTTGGGACACTGATGAGACGGGCTGAGGGTGTCAGGACACTGTGATGAGACGGGCTGAGGGTGTTGGGACACTGATGAGACGGGCTGAGGGTGTCAGGACACTGTGATGAGACGGGCTGAGGGTGTGGGGACACTGATGAGATGGGCGGAGGGTGTTGGGACATTCCTCTGCACTTGTAAGGGATGAAGGGATTCAAGCGTCTCCATCCGGGTGTCAAAAGCTTAATGTACACAGCTTTCTCCCGTGTCTGTGTCAGGAGGTTCTTGTGGGGAAAGATGAATCTTTACCACCTCATTCCCTGAAAGCTGGGCACTGATGTGAGCAGGATGCTACTTGGCCCCCTGATCAGGGCCCGCTGGGGTCACCCAGAGCACCTCAGGGCAGAGTTCCGTAGCTGGTCATTCCCTTTGTCTTCTTTTTTTTTTTCCTTTTTTTTGTCTTTTTTCGTGACTGGTAACGGGATCGCAACCCTCGGTGTCACGCCCGCACCACGCTCAACCAGTGAGCAGACCGGTCTCTATATGGGATCCGAGCCCTCGGCGGGAGCGCCGCCACACTCCCAAGCACCGCACTCTACCGAGTGCACCACCGGGCCGGTCCCCTTTGTCTTCTTGCACAGGACTTGCGACCTGCCTCCTCACCAACAACTGGCTGGATGACAGCGCCGAGAGAGGCAGCCTGGCCCAGCTGATGTGTGAGCTGAGTCCTCACTTTGACTTCCTGATCGAGTCGTGCAGGGTCGGAATGGCTAAGCCGGAGCCTCGGATCTACAAGTTTGTACTGGACACGCTGAAGGCCAGACCCAGTGAGGTACGTAGACACTTGCTTTCAGGAGAGAAGAATGTTGCAGAGATATTGCAACCAAGGGAAAGTTGAGGGAGCAGGAGGGGTACATCTGGGGCCTGGCAGGACGTTCTAGGTCCACTCCTCCCGGGCCAGGACTTCTCCTAAAGGAGTTTAACCCATTCTTCAGTCTAGAAAGTTCTACCAGAGGTGGGCATGTGGCTCCTTTATGTGGCTTTTAAAGGACCTGGGTCAAAACAACCATCATCAAATCTCTTAGATCAACTGCCTCATTTATTTATGAAAAAATTGAGACTCTGGGAGACTTTCCCAAGGTCACAGGGCTAGTCAGGGTCACCCCACCAAGGAGGGAGTGAGGATGGGCTCCAATATTGCCACGGTCTCCCACCAGGCACCTTTTGCCCCTATAGCCTGCCACTCGTCTTGTCTCCAGACTGCCTGTCCTAAAACACGGTTTTTATGGTGTCCCCGACTGTAACCTCCGAAAGGCATTTGGACCAAGGTTAAGTTCCTTCCCCCAGCATCTCCGACCCTGTCTCACTGGCCCTGCCTCCCCCACGAGCTGATCAGAGCAGACCCTGGACTCCATCCCGGGGCCCTTCCGGGCCCAGTCCCAGAACCAGGCCTTTTCTCCTCTGGGACTTGGGCTTTGCCCACCTGCGTGTGCTGAGAACTCTGCGCGTAAGTAGAGGTGGACAGAGCAGGATGGATGCACTGCTTAGAACTCGAGGCCACCCTTGTCTGAGATTATAAATAAATGCACCCACAGTTTCTTCTCTTTCAGGGCCTTTTCTTTCTTTTATTTTTCTTTCTTTTTAAATTTAAATCTTTGATCCATTCAGAATTTATTTTGGCGTAAGATGGGAAGTAAGAATCCACTTTTTTCCCTAAACAGTTAACTGGTCATACCAGCACCATTAAATGGTCTTCCTCACCCACTGGACATGACCCCTTTATTAGAAACAAAATTCTCATTTGCATTTTGGTCTAATTCTGGCCACTTGTCTATTTCCTTTCTAGTACCAAACTCTTCTGCCCTTTGTAGCTTCATCGTTTCTTTTATTGTTTGCCCTTGTTACCGTTCTTTTCCAGACCTTTTCTGTGTCTGTTCTTACATGTCAATTTTCCCACGTGAAGTTTAATGTCATCTTGATACGTCTCTATCCTCCCCTAAACTTCTTGCATTTTCAGAATTGGCTGAAACCATTAGGTGTATGTGGGGACATATTTACCTATGTGTTCATGTGTATGTAATTAAATGCTTTTAATTTTAAAAGTAAAGGGTTACAGTGAAAGAAAAGGAATTCTTAATGTCCTCATAAGGAACCCCCATGTGCGTTTTGATGGGCTTCTTTCTGGCATTCTCCCACATGCAAGAGTTTTTCTCTGCATGATGTGATGCTAGCGTCCCTGCTGTTTTGGGTTCAGGTTGTCTTCTTAGATGACATTGGGGGTTATCTGAAGCCGGCCCGTGACTTGGGAATGGTCACCATCCTGGTCCACGACACCGACACAGCCCTGAGGGAGCTGGAGAAAGTAACTGGGCTGCAGGTAACCTCACGTCTGAGTGGGCATAGGTTTCCTGCCACTCCTCTGGGGTTATGTTCCCATGAGAGAGAAAGTGTGGGGAGGACCCAGATTCCGTGGCGTTCATTACTCGGGGCATGATCCCGGGCCCCTTGAGGGGGGAGTCTGTTGCCCGTTGTGTATGAGCACAATGTCCCTGGAAAACATCTTCTTTCTTTCTCTGCAGTCAGAACAGGGAACTGGATGCTCTGAGAGCAAGAATTTACACTAGGGTTGGTGCCAAAGTCAGGGAAACCAAGACAAGAGGGGATGTGCAAAGCCACCTTGCTCTTTAGAGTAAATATTGAGAATTTGGGAGGCAGGCAATGGAGTCCAGCTGTATGCCAGAGAGGAGAGGGACAAGGCTTGGTTGATCACCAGGAAGAGGCAGGATGGGGTGGCAGAGGTGACCGCTGAGACCTCCTCCAGTGCCAGTGCCCAGGAGTTTTGTAAGCTCTGAGAGCTTCTCCCAGAAGGAGCTGCGGCTTCTCCCTCACTGTGCCTCTCGTACTTTCTTCCAGCCCCTCCATCCCGCAGCCCCTCTGCCACCCCCCTGCAGTCCCAGTGACGTGAGCCATGGGTATGTGACAGTGAAGGTAAGTAAGCCCTCTCAGCCACTCTCTGGCCAGGTCACCCAAGATGACCAGCAGAGACACGTGTTAAATTTTAAGTGTGGTTGAGCATCTGCCATGTGTAAGGAAACTATTTCCCACAAATCTCATTTCTCAAAAATCAATAGAAGACATGGACCCTGCCTCAGATTATGTAACGCAGTGTGACCGATGTGCTCAGACCCCCACAGAACAGCAGGCCGCGAGGGCCTTGGATAGCCTCAGGTGCCAGAGTGTGTGCATGGCCAGCCTGCGTTCTAGGGAGAACGTTTTTCATCCAACAGGCATTTATCATGTACTTCCTTCGTGTAGGCACAGGCCGGGTATGAAGGACACAGTGATGAACAGGACAGACCCATCCTCAAGGAGCCCATGCTGAGGATAGAGAGGGAAAAGGTCATCAGAATGCCCAGTGGTCAGGGCTAGTGCAAGGTCATGGCCACGTGCAGAGGGGCTGACTCCTGAACTGGCCGGGAGGTCTACCCCGACTGCTGATACAGAGCAGGGCTTTAGAACACCTTCCCGGGTTCACTGTGGGATCTTTCTTCATTTGTCATTGGTCCCATGTGGGTGGGAAGGCCCCTAAAGCTGTGGGCCAACTCCAGAGCAAAACCAGGCTGTCCAGCTCCTTGGAGCCAGACAGACCCTGTTTGAATCCTGACTTTGCCACCTGCTGATGAGACTGTGGGCAAGCTTCTGCTCCTTGGCTTCCACAGCTTCCTAATGACGTGATGGTAGCATGTCCCCACAAGGTTCCTATAAAGATTAAGTGAAATGCTGCATGTGGAACACCTTCGTGCTCTGGGAACAGTTGCTGATGAACAGGAGCTCTGTGGCCTGAGATGTGCTGGCCTCAGATTGCCTGGGGAGACATGCTACCCTGGAGGACAACCCACAGATAGTTTTTGAGCATTTGCTGTTTGCCAGCCACAGAGAGAAAGACCATGGTGAATGGGGTGTCTTCTGTGACCCCAGGGATTTGACGGTCTAAGGAGATGTATGTTCTCAGCCCCTGCGGCTACATCACAGGACGAGGTCCCTGCTTAATAGCCATACCAAGAAGTCCTCAGAGTGGGTTCTGTGCAGGTGGGGGCAGGAATGTAAATACTGGTGGTGTGGCCCAGCAGGTATCACCAAGTGAGCATCCAAGGCTGAGTGGGAGTTGGGTAGTAAGAGAGGTTTTTCTGGTAGGAAAGCCATGGGTCAGCATCTCCACAGTCCCTCCTGTAATTCTGGGTACTCCTGATGGAGCAAATGTTGGTTAAGGTCCCTTCAGATCTGTCTCTCTGGCAGTTGTGGGAGTGAGGGGCTTCTTGCCTGGGCCAGAGCTGGATGAACCTTTAGTCTTCACTGCCATGGAGGGGGTTAGTTCCTAGTCCTCCTGACACTTGCACATGCAGCCAGATTCAAGAGATTCTGCACTTGACCTTAAAGAAGTGTGATCAGCACTGCTGTAGCACCCCCTGCCCCCACTACAGATTTAAGAGCCAGGGCAGTGAGCCTATGGGGAGTCCTGGCAGAGCCAGGCTCTCACGGTGCTGGTGCGTGGATGGCCGCTGGGTGCTAACCCAACCTGAACTGGGCGGTAACGGACCTCCCACAGTCTGGCTTTATGGCTGTGTCTTTAACATCTACAAATAGAGGATGGGATGGGATGTGCACTGGCTGAGCTCTGCAGTTGGGCCAGATGTGAAGCCTCAGGAGCGAGCCTTTTCGTTGGGATCCCTGTTAGAACACAGGCAAATTAGGATTGTTTGATCAGACACAAGCATTATAACATTTTCCGATGTGAGGAGTCTGGAATTTAAAGTTAACTTTTGCCAAGTACCAAAGGGAAGACGATGGAACATATTCTGATAAATAGATTGTAGTCCTTGAAAGGGTTTGCGAAATGCCCCCCAATGTTTTCTTCAGCAAAATAGCTTGTTGTGATCACGAATGAAACTTCCAGCATGGGCCACCAGCTTAGAGGAGTCTGAGGTGCTCGTACAACCAAGTGGAATTGTTCCAAGTGAATTTCTATGATGGGTTTCTGATTTTCCTCATGCGCTTCTATTAGAATGTTGGAGATGTGTACTTTGGGGAATAAAATGGCACTTTGATGATACATTATTTCACTTGGTTTGCTTAGACCCTGATGGCACCAAGTGTGTTTCTCTCCAGCTCCTGTGCAGTGCAGGCCGGCGTGCTCCACGTGGTCACTCAGGAACCCAGGCTCCTTCTCTCTGCTGCCTCCACCTTCCTCGATGCCTGACCCATTCAGGTGGAGAGAGGGAAAGTGCAGGAGGTTCATGTGGGCCCTGGATGGAGCACACATTTGCCACTGGCCAGGACTCAGTGCATGGCCATGCCAGCTGTTAGAGGTGGGAAAGGGTGTCTGAAAAGTGCCACCGTGTGCCAGGAAGAAGAGGAGCATACAGATAGTGCTGAGCCACCACAGGCTCTGCCATACTCACAGAGCCCCCAAAAGAACTATAAGTGTAGCAAAACATGAAAAATTTTCATTTTTAAGAAATAAATAGCTTTTAACAAAATAATCATGTCACTCTGCACATGACCATGAATATGCTGTGCACAAAATCAGCCCCCTGTCTAAAATACTAAAAACATGCCAGAACAGCACCAGAAACTCTGACAGTCTGAGGGCATTGTAGAGGGGAAGGCAAACTTGTTTTCTTTCTGGCTTTTTCCAACATCATGATCTTCTCTTCAGCCTTCTTAGGCTGCCAGGAAATCTGCCTGTTTTTACTGAAGTTTGGCCTGTATGTCTTCTCAGCCATCTCCTCTAACACTGGGTCCTTAGCTGAGAAAGGGGTATTCTGTGAGGTGCGGTGACCGACTGCGATGGTCGTGGCAAGCAGCCTGCAGGAGGGGTGCCTAGTTCTGACCAGCCTGACACTGTGTCACTAATCACTGACCTCTCTCTTCTGCAGCCTGGAGTCCATCTGCATTTTGTGGAGCTGGGCTCTGGCCCTCCTGTGTGCCTCTGCCATGGATTCCCTGAGAGCTGGTTCTCTTGGAGGTACCAGGTAGGGGAAACTGAGGAAGGCACTCCCCAGACAGGTGAGGGCAAGGGAGGTCTAGATGGTGTGGCCCAGCCCGGAATGTCATGAAGAAGCTGAAACCTTACAGGGAACATCGTCTCCAGAGTGTTACCACCCACGCCTCAGACATTTTGGGGCAGGAGATGGCTGGAGACCTCAGGGCTGTGCTAGGCCATAAAGCACCTTTGCAGATTAGAAAAGGACAGATTCTTCAAGACACCCTACACCACTGACTGGCAAGTCTTTGTAATGAATGTAGCAATCTACAAGGACTTTGCTAGGAAATGTGCTCTCTTAGATGTGGTATTTATGCAGTGCACAGACTGTACCACCATCCGGTGAGACCGCACTCACCTATCCAGGTGAGCTTGCTCTAGCCCCATGGTGAGTATATCAGAGTGCCACGTGGCACTTTGGATTGAGCCGTTTACAGGAACAGGGAGATAGAGGGAAGCCAGGAGGGAGTGTCAGCCAAGGACTGATGAGACCATACTGGAGTGTGCCTGAATTGTTTGTTTTCTAGATCCCTGCTCTGGCCCAGGCGGGTTACCGAGTTCTGGCTGTGGACATGAAAGGCTATGGAGACTCATCCGCTCCTCCAGGTGCGTTGGCGTCTTGCACTTGTGCTGTGTCAGTCTCGCCATCGAGCTGTCCACCCTCTCCAGCCCCACTGTGCTTTCCCTGGTCCCAGGCCAGAGCAGACAGCCCCGTAAGGTGTCTGCCCTCACCCCACTCCTCGCCTGTGATACCCTTCTCTGTGCACTTTGGGCCTCAGCCGTGCCTGTGCCCCATACTCTGAATGAACACAGGAAACGCAAAGGCCTGTGCCTGAGGGAGTCTCCAGCTGATCGTTGGGATTGTAGGATGTTCCTTACATCTCCAGAACTTTTTTTATCTGGCAAAATTGAAACTCTAAACCCATTAAACACTAATTCCCCATTTTCCCTCCCCCAGCCCCTGGCACCCACTATTCTACTTTCTGTCTCTATGAATCTGACTCTAAGGACCTCATATAAATCAAATAATATGTACTGGTCTTTTTGTAACTGTTCTCTTCCACTTAACATGGTGTCTTCAAGGTTCATAGCAGGATTTCCTTCCTTTTTAAGGCTGGGTAATATTCCAGAGTATGCGTAGACCGCATTGTATTTATCCACTCATCCATTGAAGGACACCTGGGTGGCTTCCACATTTTGGCTATTGTGAATAGTGCTGCTGTGAACATGGGTGTGCACATGTCTGTTAGTGTCCCTGCTGTCAGTTCCTCAGGGTATATACCCGGAAGTAGAATTGTAAGATCATATGGTAATTCATTGGCCAGATTCTTAACCCAGCATCTGTGGGTTCATTTCCCAGTGGGAAACTATTTAAGGATAGGCATCAGGAGGCCTGTGAGCCCCTGAGACGAGGAGGTTTATGAGCATTTTCCTGCAGTGCGGGGAGTTCATTGTTTTTACGAGTTTCAGAGAGGTCCTCAATCCAAAACTGTTAAGAACTTTAAGAATCTTGGGTGTAGAGGCAGTAATGTGAGGCACCCGGGCGTGAGGCAGAATCCTGGGTCCCTCCGTGTGTCAGCAACGCAGCAGGCAGTGGTGGCTTAGTGAGCCCAACCAGCCACTCACCCCTCTTCTGAGTCACTTCCCCATAACCACGTCTAGAATGTCTGGCTGCGGTGTGCGAAGCTGGCTGACATGGTCTGGGGCTCAGTCACTCTGGTGATCACCTGCAAGGCCAGTAGTCATGTTGTGCAAGGGAGTGTCTGGAGCATTCGTTCGCTAAGTGGTGCGGTGTCGACTCAGCGGCTGCCACGGCCTCACAATGATGCGGGAGCATCTGGGCCAAAGAATAGCCTGCAGTTCAAATGCCCAGGGAGCCAGCTAAGGGCCTCTGTTTTTTAAATTTAATTGTTGAAATGTCTTATCTTTATTCATCTATCCTGCAGTCTTCTCTGAATTCCCTAGGCATAACTTGGTCATATAATTTAACATTTAACCTAGAGCACTAGGAAAAGTGGAAGAGAGGTCTAGCCAGTTAGCTCAGTTAGTTAGAGCATGGTGCTGATAACACCAGGGTTCAGGTTTCCGTCCCTGTACTGGCCAACTGCCAAAAAAAATGAAAGACACACTATTAATAACCCGCATAAACTAGAAATTTCCTTGACAAACTGATACATATGGTTTTACTCTAATTATAACTTATTTTTTTAGAAAACATAATTTAGATGTTGAAAGATCATATATAAGACAAATTCTAAAGCCAAGAGTAATGATTTGGAATATATATATATACACACACACACACACGCACGCACACACACACACACACACACGCACACACACACGTGTGCATTTCAGATTGCTTGTATATAAACTTAATATCATTTGACGATGGACTTTAGGTTGCAAATCATTTTCCCTTAAGACCGTGAAGGCTTTGTTCCAGTCTTTTTAGCTTTCACGGTTGCTATTGGGAAGCCCCAGGCCATTCTGACCCATGAACCTTGCTATGTGACCACAGGGTGTCTTTTTCCCCTTACTTTTCACACTTTTAGGGTCTTTTCATTATCTGTTGTGTTCTGAAATTATACGATATTATGCTCTGATCTGGGTCTTTTTTTTTTTTTTTTATCCACTCTGCTGGATACATTTATCTTTGTGTTCTTGGAACTTTTCTTGAATTATTACTTTCATAATTCATCTGATTTCACAAATTTTTGTTCTTTCTTTTTGATATCTGGAATTTCTATTATTGTTAAAATGTCCATACTACCCAAAGCAATCTATAGATGCAATATAGTCCCCATCAAAATCTCAGTGGCATTTCGAAAAAGAAGTTCTACAATTCATATGGGATTACAAAAGACCACAAATAGCCCGAGTCAATCTTGAGAAAGGACAAAGCTGAAGGCATCTGAGATCACACTTTCTCATTTTAAACTGTATTCCAAATCTACAGTAAACTCAGACAGTGAGACAGGCATTTAGACCTACAGAGCAGAATAGAGAGCCCAGAAGTAGATTCACACATGATATGGTCAACCGATCTTTGACAAGGGTGCCAGGAATACACACGCGGAAAGAATAGTTTCTTCTACAGACGGTGGCAGGGAAATATGCAGAAGAATGAAATTGGACGCTTGTTTTACACCATACACAAAAATCAACTCAAAATGGATTAAAGACTTAAACATAAGACCTGACACTGTGAAACTACTAGGAGAAAACATAGGGAAAAAACTTCGTGATGTTGGTCTTGGCGAGGATTTCATAGGTAACACCAAACACACAGGAAACAAAAGCAAATAAACAAGTGTGATTGCATCACTGCGAGAGTTTAGTAAGGTTTTGTGTGTTTGTTTGGTTTTTTGTTTTGGGGGGTTTTTTTTGGCTAACGGCCCTTTTAGTTTGTTAGTATATTTTAAATCATGTGAGTTAAATATATTTCTTTTATTTTTAATTGCAGAAATAGAAGAATATTCCATGGAAGTGTTATGTAAGGTAAGAAGGATCTTTGACAACATCTTTTCTATCCTGGTGTTTTCATTGATATAAGCTAGAAGCTCGGGTACCCATCTGAATCCTAGGAAAGCAGCATTTCATAGCTTTCAGGTATAAATTCTTACTGAAAGTTGAGGTGATGTTACTAAATGATAGCCAGCATATATGAAGCATTGATTGTGTGTTCTAAGCGTTTGATGGAGAAGAAACTGAGTCACAGGGAGGTTAAAGGCACTGCCCAAGGTCACAGCTAATAGAGCCAGATTGCACCCTGCAATACTCCACTATACCGTCTCTCCACCCTGAGAATTGTAAACATCACCTTATTTTGGTAAAGAAGTTGTCGGGCAGATCCGGGGAGTTAGTGTGTGGGCTGATGACTCTATGTAGCTCCTGTTTTGAGACGAGCATAAGCACCTTCAGGAAGAGGGACCCTAACTCAGAGCCTCCAGGGCCAAGGTGAGGGGAGACTGTGGCCCAAATCCCCATTCAGCTCTAGAGTGACAGCAAAGGCCAAGGGGGACCCAGGGGAGGAAACAGCCTCCTGGTTGCCAGGAAACCAGCAGCACCACTGACAACACTCCCATGACAGAAAGCCTCTGCCTCCAAGTCTCAGCCCACGTGGCACTCCCTCTGCCAGCTCTCCTGCACTGGACAGTCGGTTCTTAGGTCCTCACTGAGAACTTCGTGTGTGCTGCCCACTTTACCAGCACGTTATGGGATTACTGAAAACCCCTCAACTGAATTCCTCATTAGTGGATGTCTTAGTCAGCTCAGGCTGCTGTATCAAAATACCACAGACTGCTTGGCTTAAACAACAGAAATGGATTTTCTCACAGGTCTGAAGGGTGAAGTCCAAGATCAGGGTTGGGGTCTGGTGAAGGCTCTGTTCCCAGCTTGCAGATGGCCACCTTCTCACTGTGTCTGCATGTGGTGGGGAGAGTGAGTGAGCTGTCTGGTGTCTCTTCTTATAAGGACACTAATCCTATCAGAACAGGGCCCCAGCCATAGGACCTCATTTAACCTTAATTACTTCTGTAAAGGCCCTGTTTCCAAATACAGTCACATTGGGGGGTTGGGGCTTCAACATATGAATTTTGGAGGACGTAATTCAGCCCATAACAAAGGCAAACACAGTAAGTCTGACCTGAAAGTGGCTGAGGTGGGTGGATATGATTTCTGATTTTGTGTGTGTTTTCTTTCTTAGGACATGGTGACCTTCCTGGATAAGTTGGTAAGTAATTATTGGGAACTGATCTCTTTGAAGAATTTGGTTTGGGTCTGATTAATTGAAGGAAAGGTGTTAGCCTTCAAGGGTGTCAGCTGTTGGAGTCCCGAGCAGAGACAGCAAGGGTGGGGGACTTTGGGGTAGTCGGGGTGGGCAGAGGATCACTAAGGCAAAGGTGGCAAAGAACACAGAGTGTTGGAGAACGGTGGAGCCCAGCACGCTGCTTTGTTTTTAGTAAAGAGCAGGTCTGGGGAATAGGGGAGACGTCTCTGCTGGCTTCGAGCCAGGAAGGAGAGCCTTGAGCATGAGGTAAAGAAGTCTGGAAAATATCCCACAGGCTAATATTTTACAGCTTTTTAAAACTTATGTCCCTTCTGTTAACTAAAATCTAATGCCTTCACTCAACACTGTTGGGAATGTCATGCTCAATGATAATGAATACAAGCAACTCTGCAGTGGTGACCTGAGAATGCGCTCGTGCAGAGCACATGTGCTATACCTGAGACTCCACCCTGTGGCACCCTGCACCTCCCCAAATCAGGTCGGAGTGGCAGAATGAAGAGCACTGCAGAGGGAGCCAGGGGAGAAGGGCTAAGCCTGGCAGCAACCGTGGAGGGGTCGGGAAGAGAACCACAGAGCAGTGGGATTCAGTCCATTGTCGCATGTGGGAGTAGAGAGGAATCTGTTCAACAGCAGGGCACAGTGCCAGACTCCCCAGCGATAGGGGGAGAAGATGCCACGGTCCCTGCCCTCTGCAGAGTCTCGGTTCCCACAGCATTGGGTTTGGAACTTTTGTGCATGATGAGGACATCTAAGCAGGCATGGCCCGGCGTGGCCGCCCAGCCCCGACTCTGTAGCTCTCCATCTAGAAGACTTCCAAGTGTCTGAGAACCTCTCTTGTTCAGACGGTTGAAAGAGAGACTGTGGTTGCTGGCCAGAGGAACCAGGGGTCTGTCCCGGGCACAGTCACTTCTGGGACACTGAGGAAAGAGGCTGGGCAAGCTTCTGATTAGGTGGTCCTCTGCCAGCTGGGGGTGGCAGTTAGTGCCATTGGAGCAGGTGAGTTCCCTGTGGACAGTGTCCATAAAGGTGGGGGGGCCTGAGGGCTGAGCCTTGAAATACTCCATGTGAGAGGGAGAGGAGGGCAGCTCAGGGAAGTAAGAACAGGTCTGGAAAGATAGTGCCTCGGATGCCAGGGGAAGAAGGTTTGAGAGGGAACGTCGGATGCTGTGGAAGAGTCAGGAAGGTGAGAACCGAGGAGAAAAAATTCAACTATTATTAGTGACTTGGCCTTAAAGGTTTTGGCTTTTAAGAGGAACTGGGGGTAGCAGGGAGGAAGCCAAGTTGCAGCGACCTGAGAAGGTTGTCAGGGAGGCAGCTGGTGCAGAGCAACGTGAGGAGGTTGGCAGGACGAGGGAGGCAGGAGATGGCGGGAGCTGAGTTGAGGCTGTGAGGCTCTGCGGGGCCCTTGTGTGCTCAGATGGGGGCAGCAGGGTGCGGGGGAAGAGACAGCCCGATTTTAGGTTGGGAGACCTGGTCTGAGTGCAGCCCCAGCCCTTACCATCTGTGCAGTCTTGAGCAGGTCGTCTACGTGCTGTGAGCCTGTCTTCCCACCTGTAAAATGGGCATGGAAGGTTATTGGAAGGACACCAGATAACGGATGTCAGCACCTAGCGCAGTTCTTGGGTCATATTACATGCTCAGTCGAGGAGAGCTGTGGTTGTCAGTAGCAGCAGAAAGAAACCAAAGATGCTTTTGAACTTTTAGTGGTTCAGAAGGGCAGGGAGCTCCCAAAAGAGGTGGGGTAGAATCATAACCACTCAACGGATGATGAACTTGCAACGTGGGGAGGTACGTTGTGCTTCTTTTCGAAGAAAGGAGAAAGGAGAGAAAAGAGGTGAAACGAGATTTGATTTGAGGGAGGGAGAGATGGATGAGGCGTTCGCTCCACGGCCACAGTCTTCTGAGAAGATGAAGAAGGCTGGTCTTTTGTGTAGAGGGCTCAGGGCCAGGGGTGTGTGGGAGGAGAGACTTGACAGGGTGGATGGTGGGGTAGCTCCCGCGGGTCGGTAGAGGAAGCCCTCGATCGTCACCTGACAGTGGGCTTGGGGTGCTCAGACCTCTGTTCCAGAAGGTTCCCTTCTTCCTCCTTCTCCAGGGCCTCTCTCAAACAGTGTTCATTGGCCACGACTGGGGGGGCGCACTGGTGTGGAACATGGCTCTCTTCTATCCCGAGAGAGTGAGGTAATTACCACGAACAGCAAGGATTTGGGTAAGACTGGACTTGAATTCCCACAAGAATTGTCCCTCAGATCGGTCTCTCCAGAAAACTTCTTGAAAACAAGTAGGCCACACCTGAGCTCTCTGGTGCCCGTGTCTCAGGAAGCAGCACCTGTCCCAGTTACTGGCAATAGGACGAATGACGCGGGGCCTGAGTGTCCAGTGGGAAAGCAGGAGAACATCGTCCTGCTTTGAGGGGAGACGGGAGGCGGCAGGGGTGTTGGGTTCAAGCCTGGAGACTCCAGCCCTGGACCGGGAGGGAGGAAACGTGGCCTTCAGTTCTGCCCTGAACTGACTGTGTGACAAGTCACTTAAATGCTTGGGCCTGGGTTTCCTCAACCACAAGGTGTAAGTGGGAACTCCTACCCAACTGCACCACCCGCAGAGTGCTGTACAGATGGAAGGTCTGCGTGGCAGGTCATGGTCACCATCGTTATTAGATGGCATTTACTAATAACATTATTAGAATGGCTTTATTAGAATGGCATTTCAGCGCTGCAGCGAGAGCTTTCAGACGACTGGCTTTGAACCCAGAGTCGGTGGTGTTCGTGGCCACACCCGGTCTGAGCTGGCAAGCCGCGGCTGAGCCTGTCCGACCGCCCCTTGCAGCCTTGGGTTTTGGCAAGTTAAATACATCTCATCCTAAGCAGCCAACTGTATTTCCCTGACTAATCCACTTACTTTTTATTTGGCTAAGTTTATAAAGACCAGAAGCACAGAGAATTTTGGTCAGCCTCAACCCCAGCTTACAGACTAAAAAGAATCAAACATTTCCTAAAATATTTTTAACATTTTCCCACTTTAAAATTGTTTTTCTGTGGACTGGCCCGTTAGCTCACTCGTTTAGAGCATGGTGCTGACAGCACCAAGGTCAAGGGTTCGGGTCCCTGTATTGGCCAGCCGCCAAAAAAAACCAAAAGACAAACATGAAGTTGTTACTCTGCTCTCTCTAGCTTCTTCCTCTCTCTGTCCTTTCCTCTCACTCAAAGTGGAAATGCAAAGAGTTCAGTTCTTAGGTTCACCAAAAAGTTACTCGACAGACTGTACCTCACACTTCTTGATGTGAATAGAAGGAAACATAGCAACAGGCGTACAACGCAGCCTTAAAGGAGGCAAAACGCTTTCTGGTTTTACTACTCATAATGTCTTTCTCCAGTGAGAATTTTTAAATATTCAACATGGACAAACAGGCTTTGCCCAGATTACAGCAGATACGGGACACCTCCCGTGCCCTGGTTTCCAGCACGTCCGCCATCAGATCTGGTCGTGGTGGCTGCTCCATCACTGTCACTGGGCAGCCTTGTCGCCGCTGTCCTGAGAGGACTGCAGGCTGCCTGTGGCAGAGCCTGGCCTTTCTGGGCCTGGGTGTATCTGGTATTTAAGAACGCTGTTGACAACACTGATCTTTACCTTTCTAGCTGGATAATGAAGGAAAAACAAACTGCCCCCAAAAAGCCCACCTCTATGTGGAATATTTCTTTCAATTCTTGGTTTGGCTTTTCTACTAAGATAAACCATGGGTTTATCACAACCTACTTAATTGAAGGGGCTATTCACCTGTTTGGTCCAGAATATTCTTTTGCATCCTTTCCAATCACCTGGTGATTCTACGCCCAAAAGGAGGCTATGGTTTTGTTTAGTTTTTTCTAATCTGAACGGAGCATTAAGATTGGCGGTAGCATTTATGTGCTATCTCATTTTGTGAAGACAATTTTTTATGTATGGAATAAGCTATATGCCAAAAATATTTAGTAAAAGGATGGAATTTCTTGACTTGTGATTTAAGTAATGCTTCAAATAGATTCACCATTGAAACCTATAGCCATCAATGTAACTTATTTTATACCCAAATCTGCACTGTCCAGTGTGGCAGCCATGGGCCACATGTGGCTATTGAACACTTAAAATGTGTCCAGTTCAAATTGAGATTACTGTAAATGGAAAACAACTGCTGGATTTGAAGACTGCAAAAAAATAAATGAATAAATAAAATATCTCATTAATGATTTTTTTGTATTGATTACACATTGAAATTTTATATATTTTAGATAATTGGGTTAAATGTTAAAAATTAATCTCACCTATTTCTTTTTACTTGTTTTATCTTTTGTTCTTTTTTTTTTTTTTCCTTTTATCTGTTTTAGTGTAACCAGTAGAAAGCTTAACATTATATTAGTGGCTCACATCGTGTTTATATTGGTCAGCTCTGGCCTGAACCTCACGCTCCTTTTCCTCGTTATTTCATTTGCCCTAATTATCCCGCTCCTCCCAGTCTCTATTTCCCCCAAACGTTCTCTCCGCTCTATTTCTTTTCTGCCTCTCTGGCTTCATTTCCCAACAAGCCGCATCCAGTGCTTGGCCTCCAACCTTATAGACTCCATGTCCCACCAAACACACCTGCAAGCTTTGCCCCTTCTAGAATTTGCTCAGGCCACCTCGTGACGTTCCCTCACGGGTATCCTCTCCCTCCCTTAGACGCCAAGTTCAAATGCTTTCTTGTCCACAGGGTCTTTCGTGGTCCCCAAATCCAGAAATTCTTTATCTCCTTAGAGCTCCCAAGGTATTGGGTGCTATTCTTATGGCTGATATCACAGTCTGTTTCATAATGTAGACATGCGTGCATTTGTTTATCCTTTTTTAAATATTAAGAAGTTCCTTGAAGAAAGAAATTGTATTTTATTTATTTTATATTTTCTCTGCCCTAGTATATAGCCTGAAATTACACTCAACCTGGAGGAGACACAGTGAGTGAATTTAGGAAGGAAAACAAATAACGTGTTTTTAAACACTGCAGAGAGATCCAGGTGTCCACATATTCTAATGAGGGTTGATATGGTGCGTGTAGTGTGCGTGTAGTGTGTGTGTAGTGTGTGTGTGTGCATGTAGTGTGTGTGTGTGTGGTGTGCGTGTAGTGTGTGTGTGCGTGTAGTGTGTGTGTGTGTGTAGTGTGCGTGTGTAGTGTGTGTGTGGTGTGCGTGTAGTGTGTGTGTGTGGTGTGCGTGTAGTGTGTGTGTGCGTGTGTGTAGTGTGCGTGTAGTGTGTGTGTGCGTGTATGTGTGCGTGTAGTGTGTGTGGTGTGTGTGTGTGGTGTGCGTGTAGTGTGTGTGTGTAGTGTGCGTGTGGTGTGTGTGTGCGTGTAGTGTGTGTGTGTGCGTGTAGTGTGTGTGTGTAGTGTGCGTGTACTGTGTGTGTGGTGTGCGTGTAGTGTGTGTGTGCGTGTATGTGTGTGGTGTGTGTGTGTGTGGTGTGCGTGTAGTGTGTGTGTGTAGTGTGCGTGTAGTGTGTGTGTGTAGTGTGCGTGTAGTGTGTGTGTGCGTGTGTGTAGTGTGTGTGTGCGTGTAGTGTGTGTGGTGTGTGTGTGTGTGGTGTGCGTGTAGTGTGTGTGTGTGGTGTGCGTGTAGTGTGTGTGTGCGTGTGTGTAGTGTGCGTGTAGTGTGTGTGTGCGTGTATGTGTGCGTGTAGTGTGTGTGGTGTGTGTGTGTGGTGTGCGTGTAGTGTGTGTGTAGTGTGCGTGTAGTGTGTGTGCGTGTAGTGTGTGCGTGTAGTGTGCGTGTAGTGTGTGTGTGTGTGGTGTGTGGTGTGCGTGTAGTGTGTGTGTGTAGTGTGCGTGTGGTGTGTGTGTGCGTGTAATGTGTGTGTGTGTGCGTGTAGCGTGTGTGTGTGTGGTGTGCGTGTAGTGTGTGTGCGTGTAGTGTGTGTGTGTGCGTGTACTGTGTGTGTGGTGTGTGCGTGTGTGTAGTGTGCGTGTAGTGTGTGTGTGCGTGTATGTGTGCGTGTAGTGTGTGTGGTGTGTGTGTGTGGTGTGTGCGTGTAGTGTGTGTGTAGTGTGCGTGTAGTGTGTGTGTGCGTGTAGTGTGCGTGTAGTGTGTGCGTGTAGTGTGTGTGTGTGTGGTGTGTGGTGTGCGTGTAGTGTGTGTGTGTAGTGTGCGTGTGGTGTGTGTGTGCGTGTAATGTGTGTGTGTGCGTGTAGTGTGTGTGTGTGTGGTGTGCATGTAGTGTGTGTAGTGTGCGTGTATGTGTGCGTGTAGTGTGTGTGTGCGTGTAGTGTGTGTGTGTGGTGTGCGTGTAGTGTGTGTGCGTGTAGTGTGTGTGTGTGCGTGTAGTGTGTGTGTAGTGTGCGTGTGGTGTGTGTGTGCGTGTAGTGTGTGTGTGTGTGGTGTGCGTGTAGTGTGTGTGTGTAGTGTGCGTGTAGTGTGTGTGCGTATGTGTGTGCGTGTAGTGTGTGTGTGTAGTGTGCGTGTAGTGTGCGTGTGGTGTGTGTGTGCGTGTAGTGTGTGTGTGGTGTGTGTGTGCGTGTAGTGTGTGTGTGTAGTGTGCGTGTAGTGTGCGTGTGGTGTGTGTAGTGTGCGTGTAGTGTGCGTGTGGTGTGTGTGTGTGCGTGTAGTGTGTGTGTGTGCATGTAGTGTGTGTGTGTGTGGTGTGCGTGTAGTGTGTGTGTGTGTAGTGTGCGTGTGTAGTGTGTGTGTGTGGTGTGCATGTAGTGTGTGTGTGCGTGTAGTGTGTGTGTGTGTAGTGTGCGTGTAGTGTGTGTGTGTAGTGTGCGTGTAGTGTGTGTGTAGTGTGTGTAGTGTGTGTGTGTAGTGTGCGTATAGTGTGTGGTGTGTGTGTAGTGTGTGTGTGTGCGTGTAGTGTGTGTGTGTAGTGTGCGTGTAGTGTGTGTGTGTGGTGTGCGTGTAGTGTGTGTGTGCGTGTATGTGTGCGTGTAGTGTGTGTGTGCGTGTAGTGTGTGTGTGTGGTGTGCGTGTAGTGTGTGTGTGTGGTGTGCGTGTAGTGTGTGTGCGTGTAGTGTGTGTGTGTGCGTGTAGTGTGTGTGCGTGTAGTGTGTGTGTGCGTGTGGTGTGTGTGTGCGTGTAGTGTGTGTGTGCGCGTAGTGTGTGTGTGTGTGGTGTGTGTGTAGTGTGTGTGTGTAGTGTGCGTGTAGTGTGTGTGTGTGCGTGTAGTGTGTGTGTAGTGTGCGTGTAGTGTGCGTGTGGTGTGTGTGTGTGCGTGTAGTGTGTGTGTGGTGTGTGTGTGTGCATGTAGTGTGTGTAGTGTGTGTGTGCGTGTAGTGTGTGTGTGTAGTGTGCGTGTAGTGTATGTGCGTGTAGTGTGTGTGTGGTGTGCGTGTAGTGTGTGTGTGTAGTGTGTGTGTGCGTGTAGTGTGTGTGTAGTGTGCGTGTAGTTTGTGTGTAGTGTGTGTGTGTGCGTGTAGTGTGTGTGTAGTGTGTGCGTGCGTGTAGTGTGTGTGTGCGTGTAGTGTGTGTGTGTGCAGTGTGTGTGTGTGCGTGTGCGTGTGCGTGTAGTGTGTGTGTGTGTGTGTCTTTGTCCAAGGCAAGTAGGTGAGAAATATTGCAGTTTAATAGACCGGGTTAGGAATCACAGATTTCGAGTTCTGATCCCATTCTCCCTTACATGGCCAATGTGAGCCTTGTGCATATCATTTTCCTTCTCCGAGCCTTGGTTTTGAAATGAAGGTCCTTGCTGGGTTTTGTAGACTGTCTTCTTACAGGATCTCTGTCTTGGTGTCTCTTATTTCCGCAGGGCGGTGGCCAGTTTGAACACCCCCTTCCTACCGGCAAATCCCAACATGTCCCCCATGGAAGGTATCAAAGCCAACCCAGCTTTCGATTACCAGCTCTACTTCCAGGAACCAGTAAGTGTGGGGCCTGAGAGCTGTGCTGCCAGCGTTACTGTCCTTTCATGTCCTCTCTCCCTGTTTATCTCCATCCCCTCTGATTTTCTGTGGCATTAGTCAGAAACGATCTTACAAACGGGCTCCAGGGAGACGGGCTGCAGAACTCAGCTGGGCCTTCCCGGGTGACGGCACACTTCTGTGGGTGCGTTTAGGGGTGGAAAGGGAGGTGCGCTGGGTTCTCCTGCTTCTCTGAAGTCACAGTGTGAGAGGCTGCATGCTGCCCCCTCTCAGTTCTCTGGCTGAGAGGCTGGTGAAACCCACCTCTCTTGTTGGTGACAGCTCTTGGCCCCTCACTGGGGACCTCGTACCTCTGCTCACCAAGAAGTGAGCTTTGCGATGACGGCACCCAGGGCCTAAGATCCCGCAGCAGGCCCCAGGCATGCTCAAAGGGTGTGGGAGGCTTCTAGGTGTCACCCCACGTGCCCACCTGGGCAATCATGTAATGGGACGTCCCTGCCACCTTGACTGGGGTTGGCCGAGAGCAACATTGGAGTCAACGTCATCTGGCCCAGGTCCCCCTGCTGCTTTCCCCTTCTGTGGAGGGGCGCCTGTTCCTCATCCATGTGTGGGCTCCGGACCCCACTGTCTTGCTCTGTCTGGGTGATGCCAGAGCATGGAAGACGTTTCCTTCATACTCCGAAGACAGAAGAATGGATGGGACTGATGAACAAGGGTGTGGGAGCGTCCCTGCATCACTAGCCCCTGTCCTCACAACTCTCAGGAGGTGCCGTTCCCAACGGGGACACAGCCACCTGCCCCTGCTGGTCGAGCGACTTGCTGCAACAAGGATCTTCGTTCATGAGACGAAAGATGCTCAGCGTGTCGCCTCCCATATCTCGCAGGGTGGCCAGGGGTGTCCCGCCTGGCGTGTCGGGGACTGCGAGCTCCCTTTGGCATGAATGGAATTGAAATGTCCTTAATGAGTTCAGGGCAGTCTTGCTGTTGTGGTAGATATAACTTCGATGGTGGATTCATTTGCTGGGGGCTGCCATAGCAAAGACTGCGTGAATTCAATACCGAAACTTATTTTCTCACAGTCCTGGAGGCTGGAAGTCCAAGATCAAGGTGTGGCAGGGCTGGTCTCCTGAGGCCTCTCTCCTTGGCTTGTAGGTGGTGTCTTCTCCCCATGTCCTCATGTGGTCTTTCTTCTGTTCTTGTCTGTGCCCTAATCTCTTCTCATGAGGACACCAGTCATATTGGATTAAGGCCCACCTAATGATCTCATTTACCCTTAACCCAAGGCCCTCTTTCCAAATACAGTCACATTTGGAGGTACTGGGGATTAGGGCTTCAGCACAGGAATTCGGCCCATAACAGTTGGGTAAAGGGAAAAAGGGACAGAGGGGCCCCTGGTGAGGGGAAGCAGAAGGATGGCCACAGGGTGGTGACAGTGACAAACTGACCTACTTGGAGTGAGACCTGGGTAATTGAGACAGGAAGTCAGTGCCATTGTGCCCGACCTTGAAAGTCATCCCCAAGTCATAGTCGATGTCAAAAGTAGTAAAGAATCATTTTAAGTTCATCACCCCGTCACGGATTGCCCGTGAAAATTCTCGCAGCTGGACTAGAAGTCAGAAGCCCACTCCAGGCGTGGTTTACCGATGGACACCTCTTCACCCACTTTTCCCTCGACCTGGTGAATCATGTGGTGAGGGGACAGAAACCAAGTGTTGTTCTAGGTCCTGGAGTGGCAGTGCCTTGGCCTTGGGGGAACTGGGGAGGGAACAGAGCCCGAGTAAAATGAGGAAGCTGTGTGGGGTCCCTCCCACCTCCTCTCTGCCATCTCTGGCTCTGCTGGGCCCCCACGGAGGGAGCGGAGGGCCCAGGGTTACATGCATGCCACCTTCTCTTCCACATCCTTATTTTTATTAGCATATTCATTATTACAAATCACACCTATTATTTAAGCCCCTTAGCCAATCTCTCCCCTTCCCTCTCCCCTCTGCCCTCTGATAACCATACATTTGTTCTCTCCATATGATAGACTGACCGTCCCTCTGTTGATCTGTTGCCTCGATGATCTGTCCAGTGCTGAGACAGGTGTCATCAGGTCCTCCCCTATTATCATAGAGCAGATGCTGCTTCTATTACTCTGGGGTGTGCTTTATGGAGAGACAGGATAGGATATCTTCTTTTTTTGGGGGGGGTGTACTGGTGCCTCTCCTGTGTCAATGAAGTTGAGAGTCTGGCGTGCCATCTGTACAGTGGCTGTGACTGCTGTGGTAGAGACTAGCTGCTTTCGCAGCAGCCATGGCAATTGTGGCTTTGGTGGGCTACTCATGTGGAAATGGTGTTTTTGGTGTGCTCTTTACCTGGTTGCGGCTGGGTTCAACTTCCCCCTGGCAGGGCCCTGGGGCGGTGACAGCAGCTGGGTTAGTTGCGGCTGGTTTGGGCTTCTNGGTTCATCATATGCAAATCAATAAATGTGATATACCATATTAATAAAATCAAACACAAGGAACATATGGTCATCTGCATAAATGCTGAAGAAGCATTAGATAAAATTCAACATTCATTCATGACAAAGACCCTCTATAATTTAGGTATAGATAGAAATTATCTCAACATAATTAAAGCCATATATGATAAACCCACTACCAATATCATCCTGAATGGGGAAAAGCTGAAATCTATTCCTTTAAGTACAGGAACTAGACAAGGATGCCCACTCTCACCACTCCTATTCAACATAATGTTGGAAGTACTAGCCAGAGCGATCAGAGAAGAGAAGGAAATAAATGGCATCCAGATTGGAAAAGAGGAAGTCAAACTGTCCCTGTTTGCAGATGACATGATCGTATATATCTAACAGCCTAAAGCCTCTACAAAAAAACTCTTAGAGTTGATAAAGGATTTCAGCTAAGTAGCAGGATACAAAATCAACACACGAAAATCAGTAGCATTTCTATTCTACAATAGTGAACATGAAGAAAGAGAAATCAAGAAGGCTTGCCCATTTACAATAGCCACCAAATAAATAAAATACTTAGGAATTGAGTTTACCAAGGATGTGAAAAATCTCTATAATGAGAACTACAAACCACTGCTGAGAGAAATTAGAGAGGATACAAGCTGGGTTAGTTGCGGCTGGTTTGGGCTTCTCCCGGATCCGTCCTCTTCCACTTCTTTTTACCTTTTTCTTGTTCTCGTTCTCGTTCTTTTGAATTTAACATTCATAAGAAGACTCTGCTCTGCTTTAAGACAGAGATGCCCCATAATGTGGCTGACTGTTACAAATCTGTTTAAACGTCAGAAATGTGACCGGTGTTTCTGGTGAAGTTGATATCCATTAATCCATTTGGGAAACACTGTGCACCTTCCGTTACATGCCTGCTTCTGCAGGGGATATGAAGATGAGTATAGCCTCTCAGGGCTTAACGAATTCTTGGGGAGACAGGCAGGTAGCGAATACCTGGAGAATAAGGCAGCATAAAGGACCAGGAAGAAGGTGCAGCTTACTCTCACTGCCTGCAAGAAAACATAGTTACTTCTTTCCAAAGAGACAACACTGGAGTTGGGCCTGGGAAGATGAGCAGGATTTGGTGGGTGGAGTGAGGGGGATGGGCCTTCCAGCTGGAGGGAACACAAGGCTGAAGATGCATATGAAATGCACTTAACCCAGGGACAAATAGCATGGGAGACGAGAAGGAGTGCTCCTAACCAGATAGTCAGGGATTGTAAGGTGGGTTTCAGAAGATCTAGAACACCTGGAAATTGCCCACAGAATTTAGTGTGTGCATGCATTTTTCTAGGAAAGAGTCCCTAATTTTCATCAGAACCTTAATAATTCAATACAGGCTAAGAGCTGCCAGATTGGGTGGCCGTGCTGTTTCAGGGGTGGTACTAGGAGCAGCAGTTGGTTAGAAGTGCAGATTCTCAGGCCCCTTCCAGCTCTACCAAACCAGATTCTGCATTTCCCCAGGATCCCCCCTGTTGATTCACATGCACATTAATTAACTGCCTGGCCAGGTCTTCCCAGCTGTGACAACTCAGGTTCTGTGACTCTCAATCTTTTCTGCAATTCTCCAGCCCAGTGATTCCCAAATGTCAGCATGCCTCAGAATCACCTGGAAGACTTGTTAAAACTCACATTGCTGGGCCCCACCTGCAGAGTTCTGACTCAGTAGGTTTGTTGGGGCCAAAGAATGTGCATTTCTAACAGGCTCGCAGGTGATGCTGCTGAGGGGACCACTTGTAGAACCGTCACTGCAGGCCCAGCAGAGGGGCTCCCCTGGCCTTCTTCCAGGAGGGTGCAGACAGCCAATCCTTCTCAGTGAGTCAGAGACCTCAGGCACCTGGATCTAAACGGGGACTGCAGGATCGTGGAGGCCATTGACTGTCTCACCAATAATAGATTTTCTTTAGTGCACTGATTCTCTAGCTCTGTGGAGCCAGGCCCCGTTTACACACTTAGAAATGATTGAGGACCTCAAAGAGTTTCAGTTGCTGTGGATTATACCTATTGATATTTACCATACTAGAAATTGAAAGTTGAAAACATTTATTAATTCACTGAAAAATAACAATAATGTGCCTATGTTTATGCAAGTAATATTTTTATTTAGAAAACTATATTTTCCTTTTAAAATTTAGGGAGAAGAGTGGCATTGCTTCACATTTTGCAAACCCTTTTCATGTCTGGCTTAATAATAGAGACAGTGGATTCTGGTTGGTATTGGCTTCTGCATTCAAGTTATTGCAATATCGCATGTTATGTAGCCTCTGGAAAACTCCACTGTATGTTTATAAGAGCATGACAGTGGAAAAGATAAATAACATGCTAGTATTATTATCAAAATGGTTTTTTCATGTATCCCCTGAAAGGGCCTCAGGGCTTCCCAAGGGTCTCCAGACCACATTTGGAGAAATACTGCTTTTTTTGTTTTCAAGTTTGTATTGATGTAATTATAGGAGATAGAAAAAGGAAAGTTCAGTTGGCCCTCTCTGTATCTGTGCAC